GTGCCCTTGGGTCACTTACTGGCCAGGGATGGAACTCAGGCCTCAGTGACTGCCAATAGCTTGATAGTGCTGAGACTTAACCCCTGTGCCACCAGGGAGGCTCTGGAGGGTGCCATCTCACTCTACAAATTATAACAATTGTGATGGTCAAAATTACAGAGCTAGTGTTCATATTAAAGCAATGATTTGGTGGTTTGTTTTTTAATATATAGGGTCACATTGCTTTTAAAACTATATAGGGAAGTTTTGTGTTGACCACAAACTCTCCAGGAATGAGGAAGAAAGCACCAGTTCTGCCATGTGTTTATCATTTAATACATTCTCATCGGTCAACAAAATTAAAATATCTCCACCTTGCCTTTAAAAAGAAATCCTTCTGTCTGATTTTCTTTCAGACCCTCTGCAACTGCTAACCCTACCAACAAGGCCAAATCAAAGGCAAAAGAATGCACCTCATGACTGGATATGAAATTTAGAGCCAACGTAATCTTTGAAACTTGTGCCCGGCAACCAGAATGGTTGCACATGATTGAGATTTTTCATGCATGTAATCAATATCCATGCCACTCTGCCCCGGTGGTCTTATCTTGGGTTGCAATCACGTGAGCTCTGTCCCGCCTACATAAAACTTGGCTGAAAATCCAGTTTTGAATTCTGGAAGGCTGTGGTTATCTTGGGACTCTTTTCTACAAATATATAAACTTGATCAGTGTCGTGACAACACGTCACTCTTTGGCTAGACACCAGCATAACCTAGCAGGGAACCTCCAACTGTGTGAGCTTGTTGCAATGTAACAACTCAGACAGTCCCCACAGAAGAGCGAGGGCTCAGTCACAATATTGTTGGTCTATGTGATAAGTTTTAATGGAGAAAAGGTTACATTTGCATATTCTCCAGCTCCATTAGCATTTCTAAAGTGAAGCCCAGAACAAAAGAGCTTTGGTGGGAAACCCTAGATGGTTGTTCTTTCTTATTTTTCTTAGTCCAGTTATATGTATCAGACACATCTTGAGGACCTACTCTGTGTGTCAAATGCTGCTCTAAGGAACTCACATACATTATTTCTGATCACCCTAACTCTTTGCTAGGGAGGAATTACTGTCTTAGTTACAGATGGACTTATGAGCATATATGCAGAGGACACCCCATGGGGGTTCAGCAACCAAGACACTGGCAGGCCTGGGCCATCAGAGTTGGGAAGGGAAGGGGAGGAGGAGCCCAGTGAACCAGGGAGGAGGATTCCTGGGACTCTGGTGGTGGACATTCTTTGACAACATGCATTTGTAATATGCACTTAATCCCCTACAACATACACAGTGCTGTAAACCAACATTATTTCAATAAAGATTATTTAAAAAACAATAAAAATACAAAACCCGTGGGGATTACAATTGAGATGAAAAAAAAATGTGAAAAATGATGTAAAAATAAACTTTTTAATAAAAAAAAAAAACAATAAAAATACAGACAGGAGGACCCCAAGAGAGCAGAGAGATTCCTGGTGGGCCAGGAAACTCCACGGGTGGGGAGGGGCAGACAAAGCATTTCAAAATTGCAAATTTTAATGCGCGATTTTTACTACAAGCTAAAATAGTACCCTTTATAGTCATTCAAATATTTGAAGAACATCAGTTGAATAATATACATCAGTAAAAGGTTATTTGGAAAAATTAAATGGTATCATGAATTGAAGCTAGATGTGTACATATTTTAATATACCTGCTCTGTAACATATGCTTTATCACCTCAGTTACCCGTGTATCACCAGCTCTGCACAGATTTCCAAGTGCTTTTATATGTATTATTTTATGGAGTGATTTTAAAAATGAAGTTCCATGAAATAAGTGGCATTAGTCGCTGTGTTTGCTCCATGGGAATCAAAACCAGCAGCCTGCCTGGATTTATGGACTCATAGGGAGAAAATTGGTGTGCAAGATCTGTGCTCCTTCCTGATTTACTGAGACCAAGGTCTGTTCCCGTCTGACTGCAGTATTCAAGGAGTGAGAGACTCACAGCGTGCTCAGCAAGAACAACCACACTCAGCACAGGCTTAGCCTGGTTTCTGCCCATCTCTGATGATGCCTGGGGGCCAGAAGACATTGCAGGGACTGTCCGCCATTTTGTAGGATATTGAGCAGCTTCTCTGGCCCAAGCTACTAGATTACAGTAGCATCTTGAACTTATGGTCATCAAAAAGTCTCCAGACATTGTGAAATGCCCCAGGGACACAGCTTTAGACATATTTAGTTTTTAGACAGTGTCTTCAAAGTCAGAGACATCACTTCAAGACAGTCATTGGAAGACTCTATGATGTCACCTCACACTTAACCTTCCAGTCAGTCTCCACCACATCACCCCAACAATGACTCTTGCCCTCTGTTCCCTCTTGTTTTACAGCAGACCGCACCCATAAACAGATGAACCCCTTTCCCAAGTGTCAGCCCTCTGTGACCCCAAATTTCACATGTGATGTTCCCCATTGCCATTTGTCTTTTCCAGAACGTTCTGTCTTGTGAGCCACACCTTGTCCATAATAGTCAAGATCTCCTGAGAAGAATCCTTCATTAAATTCGGGCTAAAATGAGACAGATTCTCCCCTAAGGACCCAGCTTTTCCTCTTTTTTCCCAGCTTTTACATCTCCATGGGCAGCAAAACCCAAACTCTCTCATCTCAGTGAAGCAAAGCTCTTCTAGAAAAAGACCCTGGTAGAAATCTCCCCAGCCTCCCTGCTGGTGGGAGCTATGACCTTTAACTCTCTCTCAGGATTCTGAATTGAGACTTGGAAAACATTAGTATTCTCCTGGGAGAGGGCGGCAAAAATAAGTTAAAATCTGCTGCCTGGACACACCACCGGCAGGAGAGCCGGCTTAGGCTGGAGCACGAGAAGTCATTGTGACGCTGCCTTCGTCTCCTGTCTTGACTTTCTGATCTCCCCCCGCTCTTCCCTTCTACCCCAGAGTCATCCCCCCTACACCCACTCAAGCACCCCACCTTCACTTTCTCCTCCCAGATTCTCACTGCTCCAGATGAGGACTGGAACACGGTAGCTCCAGACATTTCATGGGGTGGGGACTCCCTTTGCCCCGTGGAGGGGATGAGGTTAAGGTAGCAATAAATAGCAGTGGTACAGGTGATAAAAGAGAATTTCAGATTTTAACCATACTGTGGGTAAACGTGGGTGGTGCGGAGAAATGACTCGAGAGGTGAGGCTGGTCTAGAAGTTTCAAGGGGACTCCCTTGGAGGTGTTTGGAGAGTCAGGCATACACAGACTGGGCATGGGGACTCCTGAAGTACCAGGATCTGGAGGTGGGTGCAGGTTGCTGGTGGCAGGAGAGAGAAGCCACAGGGAGGCTGGCATGCGAGGCGTCACGTCCCTGGTGCCGCAGAATGCAGGCGTTGGGTGTGGTACTGAGTGCAGTGAGAACTCACTAGAGGATGAAGACTGTCCACACTGCCAAGTGTTCTGTAGATCTGGATGTAATTTGTACAAAGAATCTAATTCTAGGAAGCTGGTGTCGAAGAAGAGGCCTCAGGTATCTATGTGTCGCAGAGGTGGTGGAGAATCATGCAGCCAAAGGAAATTAAATTTAAAAGAAAACAGGCTCCCTGCATTTTAATGCCTCATTGTTCTTGACTGTGATACCATAGCCAAGATGAAGGCAACAGTCTGTCCCTTATAGCGATCACTTAAGTGTGTTCTGTATCAAATCTATCACTGACCTTTAGAAAACACATCTGCCTACGATTTCATGTACCTTTTATTCAATACTTAATGCACAGTAAATTGAAGGCTTTATCTTCCTAGTAACAGTAAGGCAGATACAGGAGAACCCTATTCCACATAGTGGTCGATAGCTGTGGAGGAAGCTCCACGTTTCAAGATGTGCTTGTCAGCCTCAGTTGTGTTAAAAGAAAGATAAAGTGAAATGGTTAGCATCTCCGAGGAGACTTCTAACCTCTGTCTGTGCCTTCCCGCTCCTGTTCCTCGCCCCCACTTCTTATTTGACAGCACTGACCTGGCATCAGTAGGATGGATGCTTTCGAGTTCTTTCTCTAGAAGGAGAGCGTGATTGTTGCCAAGCTGTCTCATTTCTTCTCCACTCCATCCTTCAGATAAATGGGGTTCTGTTGTGGCTTGTGGGGTCAAGCTTTTATCTGTGGTCTCAGAGGTTGCTTTTTTATTTCTCCGGTAAAAATTGGATCCCTGCTTCAGGAGTAGGGTCATAGGTGGCCCCGTAAGCTCTGTGTTCTAACCAGCTGAGTGGATTGATCTCATAAGAGAACATTCGGTGGCATGATAAATATTCAGCCTCATGCCTTAGAATGGCCTTAGAGATCTTAGAGCATGTCTTAAAATTAAACAACCAACTTCTTAGGGGACTCCAATATGAAAAGAAGGACTCAGGGAAATCAAGAAAGCATAATACATATTTACATTGTCTGGACAAGTCTACTTCTTTAAAGAAGTGATTTCCTTTTATAAAGTCATCTCGTTTACGCCCAGAGAATGGTTTAGGGAATCCATTTATAAGATGAGATTATGAGTATAATAATAAAAATAAAGAATGGTGATGACATCAACTGCTACCACAGCATTTTAGATTAGAGATATCCAGATGTATTTCCTGTTACTTGGTAGTTATGTTAATGCAGTCCTTGGGGCCAGATTGTTGAAATATATCAGAAAAGATATACGACCTTATTAATGATCATTTAAGTCAAAATGAAAGGCAGCCATAGCAATAATATCATGTTCCATTTTATTTTGCTTAATCTTCATAAACATCTATTAAAACTTGTATATGTACATAATATATGTGTGTGTAGACATTTGAATACTTACAACTCACAAAAAACTTTTCAACCCTTTAAGTGGGAAACCAGAGCAATCATTCATGAAATTTTCCCATGTAAATGCCAAGTGTGCGTCATAATGGCTCGGGATGTCAGCGCGCGGCGAGGTGCCCTCTCACGTCTCCCCTTTCCCTTCTGTTCAGAGAATTTGGATGGAGAGACCCAGAACTGCCTGAAGTGATCCAGATGTTGCAACATCAGTTCCCTTCGGTCCAGTCAAATGCTGCAGCCTATTTACAGCACCTCTGTTTTGGAGACAATAAAATTAAAGCCGAGGTAAGTGCTACGTGGCTCCTCACATGTGCATCTGGTGTCGCATGCATCATCACTTAGGTTTTCGGAGTCATATTAAGAGGTGAACGGTGGGGAAAATGCAAGCCACGTTTTCAAAGGATCCGTGCTTCAGCCGCATCCTCTGCGTCGGGCTTGGTGGAGGGACGGCACTGCGTCTCCCGAGCTTGCGGCGCTGCGGAGTGGACGAGCAGGGAGAGGTATGTGCTCAGGTCCACTAGAGTGTCCCGCCCTGGACTTGCGAGCAATTGTCCTCCCACCTCCCACCTCCCACCTCCGCCTCCAGACTCCAAGTGGAGTCTAAACGCTAAAGAACTGCTCAGCACCCTGAGTTGTGTCCTAGAGCACAGGTCTCTGCAGCCAACGAGTGCGTTGTCTGAGCTCCCCAGAGAATGGACAGTAAGAGGGGCGCTGCAGGCAGCTTGAGGGCGAGGGAGTCAGGCCTTGGAGCGGTTTCCCGCTGCCTTGGGGAGGCAGCGCGCGCTGGGTGCAGGCAGCTGTAGTAATTGGAGCACCTCAAGTGCATTCATGTGGTGCCTGATATTTCTGGAAAATCAATGGTCAGCGTGGCCAATTCTGAATGTTTTAGACAAGGGACAAGTATTTGCATATAAGCAGCTGAGTAGTCAAATTTAAAAAAAAGATTTTACAAGCTATAAAGAGTCATCTCCATAGCATGGAAGCAGTTGAAGCTGCTTCTCAATTAGCTTAAGAGAGGAAAGAAGCAACGTGAAGCTGTAATTACAATTTATTATAGATTTTGCTTGCTTGCACCGGGGTGTATACAGCTGACCCATCTCTCATCTTTCTTCCATCCCTCTTCCCTTGGTACTGCGAAGGACTTGAGTCAGCTTCTGCTTAACAGAAATTCCTTGTTTGTGGGATGAATGCAGCACAGTGTTTCGCAAGCAGGTGTGACCTTACCCCCAGGAGACATTTGACAACACCTGGAGCTTTTTTTGGTTGTCCTGCTAGAGAGTTGCGGTGGTGCCATTAGCATCTGCTGAGTGGTGGGCAAGTGAATGGTGCCAGGGGAAGAGGGGAAGAGAGGAGAACACTGTTCACCGCAGATACATTTACAGTGCCCCCAAAATGCCACCTTCGGAGGCGATCTAAAAATTAAAGTTATATAACTACTCATATTGGAAAGGATCCTCCTCTGTTTTTAATAGATGACAAAATGGCATCCAACATGGAGGACCAAGTCCTGGTCGGGCCACACAAGGTCATTTTTGAAAGATTTCATCTTTAAGGGTTTCCCTGACCTGAGGAAAGCTGCTCATTCCACTGCTGGCGTGAACTTGGCCCAGGGGGGTTGTGATATTCCCACAAAGTGGGTTGGGCTCTGACCCACAGCATGGTTCTGATGTCAAGACTGTGACACACAGACTAAGAGGGAATGAGAAAGTGGGATGTTCACTTACAGAGGCTTATGGGGTGGGGCAAGGTGACCCCCAAGCAGAACCAATCATGGCTGGGAAGAGCAGGACTGGAGGCTGACCAAGGTGCTTTTTGGTGGTTATAGGCCGGGGCCGGGATGATGTTCTCACCATAGGACATGGGAGCTGGGGAGCCGTGTGGTTTGAACCTTCAGCTGGTGCTGAAGGAGGAAACACTGGGGCTTTCTTATCAGCTGGCTCAAGGGGAGGCTTCAAATCTGCCAGAAGTCAAATGTCCAAAAGTGGACTCTTGACCCTTGATGACAAGAATCTTGCAGGCCGGCGCAGGAGAGCCCCAGGGCACAGGCTGCCTGCATGACCCAGCAACTGGCCATAGCCCTGGTGGTAGACTTGCATCGGGCATATCAGAAGCAGCCCAGTACCCGCAGACGAAAGGGGGCATGGTGGATGGTGACCATGCACACCAGCGTCTGGCAGGGTCACCCGGGCCCTGCTCACCTGCTGTGTGTCCTTGAACAAGCTGACCTTTCGTGAGGCTGGTGCCTTGTGGTGGAGCCTTTGTAAGGACTGAAGGACTCAGTGCATGCGAACTGCTCGCCCCTGCAGTGGCCATTCGCTCCTTCTCTTCTTTGCTCAGGAACACAGTCACGATAATTCAGCTACTATTGTGCGTCCTGTGTATGCATATGGCTGTGTGTACACCAGTGCTTATTTGTTTGTTTGTTTAGTATTTTGCTGTGGGCACCCTCAAAGTTGCTTGTGTTACCTCTCACTGCCCAGACCACTTAGCAAAGCTGTCCCTTCGTGATGGACAGCTGCCTGTCATGTTTGCATCTTCAGGTATTGATTTTTGTAATCACCTGTTGTCCAAATACTAATCTTGCAGGCACTGGCCTTTCCAAATTTACTCAGTGCTCTAGTCTTCCTGTTGCATTTTATTGAACTGATTTAGCCCCTCAGTCTACATTTCATTATTGGTATTGACTTTGCTCACACCATGGATAGGCCATTGAGCAAAAGGCAGAATTAAATTTCCTGGCTGTGGAGGGTCCTCAGTCATACCATCCTCTCTCCTTATTATAGCGTACAGTTTTCATATAATGAACCCAAGAAAGTCAGTTTTGTTGCAAATGATGGCAGACCTTAGAGTACACGACTGAGATTCATTTCCACAAATCAGAAGATGAAAGCCTTGCCTCCCTCACTTTTCCTACTGGTCTAGTGGACTTGGACTTGCAGCGACTCCGGATCTCCTCCCAGTAGGAGGAGGAGCCGAGGGACCGCATGGGGTGTGGCTTGCTCTGCAGCCCCTGTGACTATAGTAGAGCCTGCAGGCCCCTGCGTGCCCCGACCAAGGGCCCAGTGCTGCATGCTGTTTATTTATACACACTTTGAAGGCCAGTGGGCGTCCAAAATGGGGGTAGGAGAGTCTCACACAAACCAGCCTTCAGAGCCAGACAAGATGGGAAGAAAAGCAGTTAAGGAAAACTGGAAGGAGAGGGCTGGACCCTGGCTGTGCGGCTGCTTCTCACAGGCCAGTGCGAGTCTGGTGTGGAGGCCAGTCCCCTGCGTTGAAGGGCAGCAGTGGGCCACAGACGGACACGGCACTGTCTGAACTGCACCTGCCATCTACACTGTCTCCTCCGTCACTGGGAGTGTTAAAAGTCAAGCTTTAAGTAACGTGGAGTTGTTGTTCCAGGGCAGCCCCAGGAGACAGGGTGATCTGGGGGTGAATGCTTAAGAACGTAGAACACCCAAAGCACACAAACGGGGGCTACATTTTTTAAAAGGTTTATTTAAAAGGGGAATGACAAAGGTAGGAAAGAGAGCGAGGGATCGGTAGACATGTCCTATCAGTAGTCTGAGCTGAGACACCAGGGCACAGGTTGAAAGACAGAAATGCCAGAGTCCCCAAGTCTGCACGTGTTCGGGTATAAACCAAACATGGCAGCTAAACTCCGCCCCTGGGTCCCAGCAGCCCCCATACAGGAAGTGAAGTGCACAGCATGCTGGGAGTTGTATTTCACAGCACCCCAGCTCTCTTCTGGGTTGAAATGGGACGGAGACTAAAAACCTCAGGGGGTGGTGTTCATTCATGCGCAGAGCCTCTCTCTGCTGTTCCTCCACCAGGACTAGGCACGAACACTTGATCATGTGTGCACTCTAGACACGTTTAGCAGGTGCCTAAATACTGGTCATGTTTTAGCTTTTGTAGTTAAGTCCCTTCTTCATTCTTTCCTCCACTAAGAACATTAAGAATATTCCATTGACTTGGGGAATCACACGAAGCGCCTTTATGTGTTTTAATAATTGAGTTTGCTTCCGCTCTCCTTCACGCATTTTCCCCATTTCTTCTCATGCACACGCCTGTAAGCGCACAGGTGGGCACCCCATCGTCAACCCAGACCGTCACCCACATCTGTGTGGCCATGCCCGCCGTGTGGTGCTGTTCAAGTCACTAGGTCTCCTAGATCTGAAAAAGCCTTTCCACTTTTTCAAGCAACAAAATAGGACTCCTGTTAAACTGTAATTTTTTAATATTTTATTATATACGTTTTAAATATTAAATTCAATTTAATAAAAGTTTAAAACTTAGAGCCATTCCATTAAATCAGCCTCTTGCCAAAGATGTGTTTTGGGATGGTGGACTTTTGCTCCACTACACTGCTAACTCAGCCATACTGTGAGGCAGTTGTCAGCTCAAGGAGGCTGTGGCTCTATCCCAAGCAAATGTTGAAACATATAGAGTGAAGTACTGCTATTGGGGAAGTTAGGATCAAAGACCCAGCCACAGCTGCCAACATAAAAAAACCAAACTAGTTCAGATGCTTCATACACCAATGTTATGTGATCGTGGAATTAATGACTGTATTCACAAATAGCCTTTGATCCGCTATACACTTTCAGACTCTGTTCCTGGCCTGATAATAATAAACAAAGCAGATCCAGAGGCGCGGAGAGAAGGCAGAGTAAACAGGAGCCGTTATCTGTTATCTGCCAGCACGCAGGAAGCACAGCCTGGTGATGGGGAGAGAGAGGTGGGAAGGCAGGAGAGACTCCTGAGGTGGGACATTGGGGAGAGCCCAGAGGCAGGGAGAGAGAACCATGGAGTTAGTTATCTGAGGAGGGAGGGCCCACACTAGAGTAAACTAGCAAGTGCCAGGCAGGGTGTGCTTGGGGGGGGGGGGGAGGGTGTTTCCTGCGGCTGCTTCACAAAACGACAAGAAGCTGTGTGGCTTCAAATGACAGGAATTCACTCGATTCAATAATGTGTGTGGGGAGGCTCCCCAGTGTGCCACCCTGCTCTTGATTGGGGACGGAAATATTTGCATCCTGAACTGAACAGCGGGTCAAAGGGCCAGGGATGGCAGGGAGAGGGGAGGAGGCCCACGCTGGGGGAGGCTTCTTTGGTCAGCAAAGGCAGCGGCGTCCCGAGTGCAGATGACACCTTTCTGGAACAGGAAAGGACCAGAAAGAGATGGTTGCGGATTCCCCAGACCTGATGTGGGTCCTGCAGCCCCCCTGAATCTGGGGATGTTGTCTTGGTGCCCAAAGTTGCTCATCAGGACAAAAATCTTCCTATGA